GAGGGTCAGATATTTCCTCACCTCTGTGTAAAGTAACTAGTTGGCATCTCTTCTAGTCTTAGTCTTTGTAACTTCAACAAAATGACTCTTTTCCTGACAGGTTTTGATAAGAGAAGGTGGGAGAAGACTGATAAAATGGCAGGATTCAGCTGTGGATTCTAGCAGAGTTCACTGTAATTGTAAAAACTTAAAACTTTAACATGGGTTTAAAATGAACCATCTTAGTAGTAGAAGGGGTGGGACTGGGATCTCACTATCATCAAGAAGAAAGAACCAGGAGTGAAGCATGTTCTTTGGACCCCAACAGCACTGTGTACTGAAATTCCTGTATTCAGGGACAGAAATCTGGGACACTGGAGGAATGGCAGAGAAGCAGCAGCAGAACCAAAAACCAGGGTATGAGACAGAGCAGTGGGCTTCCCAGCTCATGGAGCAAGCAAAACTGAGTGTCTCCCAGCAGGAAGCTTGCTTGAAGAGTGTGGTGCCTCCAGGCACTTAATTGGAAGAAATAGGTTCTACTGTTGCTTTTCCTTATTTGCTTGTTTCTCATTTGCCCTCATTGTTCATTACTACTCTCCACTACTTTTCTCTTTTTATCTTCATTCTCACTAAATTTTTTTAAGTGACTTTGTTTCTTTTTAATTTCTTCCTTTTATTTCCCATCTTATTTTTCTCTTGGAGAGCTCCATTTCCTGTCCCCTTTTTAGCAGAAGTACCTCTGCTGTCATGTCCCTCCTGCACCAAACTTCTGTACTCCTGGGCTTGCAGGAACTGCTGAGATTTTCTCCTCCCCAGGCCCAACAGCTGTGTTATTCTGTTATTATTATTTTTTTTTGGTTTTGATTGTTTTTTTCGTTTTGTTGTTTCTTTGTTTTTATTCCTTTATTCTCCTCAATTTTCCATAGTTTAAAAAAATTAAGATTTTTTTACCTTTAGCTTAAGTATTATTTACTGATGACCAAGAATAAGCTGAGGACAACTCTGAAATTATATATAAAGCTGCCAACGATTTATCTTTGGTTTACAAAAAAGTTTAAAAGGCAAAAACTGTATTGATCTTACATTTTGAAATACATGAAACATGTTGCCAAATCAGAAAAAGTACTAAATTTTCTGTGAGTTAAAATTTATATATCAATCTCGAAGGAGGTGGAGCTGAATTGCAGATTAGGGAGACTGGGGACTCTTGACCCAGAGAGGGAGAGGGGCTGTGTGCTGACAACCAAGAGGCTGGCTTGCTGGGTATATCCTTTGGTTGGTTGATGATGCATGGAGGGGCTTGTAACCATGGCAATGAAATGATATACCATAGGATGATTGTAAAGCTAATGTTCTCCCATGTAAACCATCACATAATTCACAATAAAACACCAAAAAAAAAAAAAAAAAAAAAAAGACAGTATATCTTCACCCAGTGAAAGAAGATTCTGGTATATCTCAATCATCAGTTCTTTGTAAAGGTTCCTCCGCTCAAAACTCAGTCTCTTCCATTCTGCCTCTGTGAAGAACACGTTGACATCCTCAAATGTAACTGGTTCCTTTTAAATTTTCGGTAATCTGTCTTTAATGAATACTCTTTATATTGTAGGTTTTCCTGAAATTTTAATATGAATTTTGGTAAGATTTTCTTGTATTTTAGGTTTCCTGGTCTCCTCTTGATTACAGGCAACAACCTTAGGGAACACACCTTTGGACTCTTCTGTCTGAATCCATTTCTTCCTGGTCTTCATATCATCCTTGTATTTGGAAGCTAAAATCTTCCCCAGTCCTGCACATCCAGGATAGAAGCAGAAGAATCAGGTAGAGCAATGGCCCCTGAGTCAATACAGAATCTAACCAAAATTCTGGTAAAGGGTAAGTTGGTAGTTACTTCATCTCCAGATGGATCTCTGCTGCCTGACATGACTTGTTCATAACATCATGAAACTACCACTTTTTTTCACGTATGCAGGACCTCCCAGAACCTGCGTGGGGTCCGGAATCCTTTGGTCGCCACTAGTCACTTCTGGGCCACATGGTGAATTAACTCCCAGATCCATTGTGCTCTGGAAAGTTTATTTAAATATCCATATGGAGAGATTCACCAGCCACTCCTTGGAAGCCTTATACCTGGTGGCTAAGAATCAGATACAACTCAACGGCACTTAAGAATACAGCAAATGTGTAGTGGTCCTCTGTTCCATAGTCCACATAAACTCCCTTTACTTTTATAACAGTGAGCTCACTGTTCGCGATTGACTTATTTCAATCAGCATCATGTTCTCCAGTGCATCCACATTAAGAAGTGTTTTGCAAACTCTTTGTTAGTCCTTAATGATGCACAGTATTCCACTTTCTATATGTACCATAGTTTATTTACTCAATCTTCTGTTGATGGTATTTAGGTTGTTTTCTCTTCTTTGCTACTGTGAATAATGATGCAATGAATCTGTTGTTAAGTGCTAAGTCTTTTTGGACTCATAATGATCCTGTGTTGGTTTCCAAAGAGCAGATGGGGAGTTGGAACCGCTGACCTTACGGTTCAAACCGAGATATATCTCTCCATATTCTGGCTCTTAGCTATAGGATATATACCCAATAGGAGATTACTGGATCAAATTGTACTTCTATATGTTAATGACATCCACACAACAGAAATCGGAGTAGAAAACTCACAGTCATTTATAAGCATTCATATTCCAAAACAGGAGTCCTGGTGTGGCACTGTAGGATAAAGTACTGGACTACAAGGTCAGTTTGAACCACAAGATCAGCAGTTCAAACTCACAAGCTGCTCCTTGGAAACCCTATTTTGGGGACACTATGAGTCAGAAGTGACTCGACAGTACTTAACAACAACATTCCAAAATAAGCATACTTTACAAGTGGTGGTGGTGGTGGTGGTTATGTGCCATGGAGTCAGTTCTGACTCATAGTGTCCCCATATAGGGCTTCCGAGGCTGTAAATTTTAACAGGAGCAGAAAGTTGCACCTTTCTTCCACGGAACCTGGTAGTTTCAAACTGATGACTGTGAGATTAGCAGCCCAATTTGTCACCACTCTACTACCATAGCTTGTTGTTGTTGTTAGGTGCCATCGAGTTGGTACCGACCCATAGTGACCTTAGGCACAGCAGAATGGAATCTTGCCCAATCCTGGGCCAACCTCACTACTGTTGCCACGCTTGAGTCCATTGATGCTGCCACTTGGCAAATCCATCTCGTTGCGGGTCTTCCTCTTATTCTTTGATCCTCCACCTTACCAAACATGATATCCTTCTCCAGTGAACGGTCCCTCCTGACAATATGTCCAATTATGAGAGATGAAGTTTGGCCATCTTGGCCTCTAAGGAGCAGTCTGGCTGCACTTTTTCCAAAATGGATCTATTGGTTCTTTTGGCAGCCCATGGCACTTTCAATATTCTCCTCCAACACCATAGCTCAAAGTCATCAATTCTTCTACGGTCTTCCTTATTTACTGTCCAGCTTTCACATGTATATGAGGTTATTGAAAATACCATGGCTTGGGTCAGGCACACTTTAGTCCTTAAGCTGACATCTTTGTTCTTCAACATTTTAAAAAGGTCTTGTGCAGCAGATTTGCCTAATGCAGTACGTCCTTTGATTTCCTGCTTCCTTGAGTGTTGATAGTTGATCTAAGAAGAATGAAGTCCTTGACAACTTCAATCTTTTCTCCATTGATAAGAATGTTATTTATTGGTCCAGTGGTAAGGATTTTTGTTTTATTTACACTGAGATGTAACCCACACCAAAGGCTGTGCTCTTTGATCTTCATCAATATATATTTTAAGTCCTCTTCACTTTCAGCAAGCAAGGTTGTATCATCTGCATATCGCAGGTTGTTAATGAGTCTTCCTCCAATCCTGATGCCATGTTTTCTTCATATAACCCAGCTAGGAGTACACAATTGTAATTGATATGTATTGTATAAATATTCTCTAATTTAAAAATTAATAATCAAAGTATTTTTATGAGTACCACTAATGAGGTATTAAATAGCATAAATTTAACAAATCTTCAATTATGCTTTTCAAATATATCTGAATCAACTCTTCTATTTTTACTTAAAACTAAACATTCTTAGTTTTCATATTTTACTATGTAGTTTCCTAACAACTTGAAAAATATACATGAGGAAAGCACTATCATTATACTTTCTTGGCATTAATCTTTAATTTCAATTAGCTATCTCATCTTCTCTTTTTCGTTCTTACCTCAACTCCTAGAAGAGCCGCCCACGTTAAACCTCTCATAAGAGGAGGAATGTCAACTCTTGCTTCTTTCCAGATTTGATTTTTTTTATATGGATAAGCCTACAACATATATTTTTTAAAAAAGAAAAAATACTTCAAATTACCAAGTGTTCAAGTGTTATCTTTCAATCTAGGCAGTTTTGAACATATTAGTGATAAAGTTTATGATCACTTGTTAATAATGTCAAACTATCTCAAATTAATGGTGTTATTTACCATACAACATATCAAATCAATTCTGACTCATAGACAACTCACATAGGATTTCCAAGGCTCTAAATCTTTAGAGAAGCAGAAAGCCTCACATTTCTCCAGTGGAATGGCTAGTGGGTTTGAATTGCTGACTATGTGGCTATCCTACAGTGCCACCAGGGCTTGTGGTCTAATAAACGGAATGGTTCCCTATTCTTTTGAATATCTTATATTATACAATCAGAGACAGGAGCTGTTTCGATCTGTTTTTCATCAGCCCCCTCTATTTTGTGCTCTGAAAGAATTATGACTGAGTCTCATGGAGGACAAGCAGTCATGTTGACACAATGGTTAAATTCTTGACTGCTGGTGGAAAGGTTGTTAGGTCAAACTCACTCAGAAAGACTTAGAGATCTGTTCTTATAAAAAGTACAGCCTAGAAATGCTATGGGGTAGCTCTACTGTCACATAGTATCACTGAGACAAAATCAACTAGATAGCACCTAACAAGCAGAATGATGTAGCTTTGCATATAAATGTGTCCATGCTTTTGATAAACTCTGTTAGGAGAGATTTTTGGTGGTGTTGGTTATGTGCCTTTGAGTTGATTCTGACTCACAGTGACCCTGCATAAGGTTTTTCAAGGCTGTAAATCTTCACAGGAGAGGAAAGCCTCAGCTTTCTGCTGAGAAGTGGCTGGTGGATTTGAACAGCTGACCTTGTGGTTAGAAGCTCAACACATAACCCATTACATCACCAGAAGAGCTTTTCTAGAAAAATATTAGGACAAAGAGTTTGAGTGTTGTTAAGACTCTTAAAACATGCCTTTAAATGCTATATAAAATGTTTCAATCAATTTATACTTATAACAGCAGAATGAGAATTCCAATCTCATTGTAGGTTTGTGTACTATGCAAAACAATTTAGTTTTCTTTTTTATTTCATTCCTAGTGTGGTTGACTATTTTTAACTAATTTGCTGACTGACTATATTAATATTATGTTCTTTACTGATTTCTCTGTTTAAATGTTGGTATTTTGTTTTATAGACTTTTAAATGCTCGTCCTGTGTAGATTTTTGTAATTACAAAGTTAAGTCAAAAGCTGTTTGTACTAGGATGATAATTCATATATGCATGGTTTTATTCCAAAGAAAAAGTGTTTAAAAGTGTCTCTAACATTATTGGATGGTGACAGGCAAGTTCTACCAGTAATACATTTCTCTTAATCTCACTAAGGTACTTTCAAAATAAAGGTCCAGTGAAAACAACGGTTTCTGAGGGGATATGCTGAGTCAGATCACGGTAGAAAAAACACCTCAGAAGGTTCTGGTGAGTGTTTTGGAAGCTTCCAAATGGGTAATCTTGACAGATTTCCTTGAAGAATACAGGATGATCACATGAGCTTACTGGAAAGAAGTTTAAGAAAATAGGGAAAACCTCACTGGTGAGAAAAAGGCTAGGAAAGTTGTGTCAAAAAAAATTTTTTTTCCAACTTGACAATGTACCTACCTGTTCATTCTTTGAGGGTAGCAAAGGCTGTCCTATGAGAAATTCATTGGGAAACCTATTCCATCTACCCTAATGCAACAATCTTGCTTATTCAGACTTTATTTTGTTCCTGAAACTCAAAGCATTTAAAAGGAACACTATTTGAAGATTCCCAAACTACCATTTTTGGTGTAATCTTACAACAATGACAAGGAGAGTATAGAATTCTTCAGGGAAGAGTTACAGAGATGGAAACAACACCTTCAGAAATGTATAGACCTAGATGGAGGAGTCCTGGTATAGAGCTGTAGGACAAACACTGGTCTGCTAACTGCAAAGTCAGTGATTCAAAGCCACCAGCTACTCCTTGGAAATCCTATACAGGGTTGCCAGCACGGAACAACAACATATAGAGGACATGTCAAGAAACAGTAGCTTCACATTTTGATAATCTTGTTTAATAAATATTTCTATGATTTTGTAATAATACTTTTTGAGTTATCATCATATATCTATCTCTACATCCTAATTTAACTTACATTAACATGTGTCATTTTTATAATTAAAGTTAAATAGGTCATTAGAAACAGTGTTCTTACAACATCAAGATTCCCTAAGAATTAATGAAAATTTAAAAACAAGACAAAAAGGATTGTACTTGGGCTATGGGTAATACTTTTGTAGAATCTCTACCTTTAGTAGCCTGTCAAAGAGAATAATTCTGTTTAGTTGGTACTCTGTGTCTCTCTCTCGAATGATCAAAGGGAGAGTGGCAGCTGCAGACAATTCATTATTGCTGTTTGAATGAGGTAAATTAGACTGGCTGTAAAAAAAAGCAAAGCAGAAGAATTGACACAAGATACAAAATTTTAACAAAAACTAAACACTATCTCAAGCTAAGTTTTTATGTTCTACCTTTTTCAAGCAACATGTACAGATTTCTTATCATTATAATATAAATGAAAAAGAATTAGAAATGTAAAAGGAAATCATGTATATACTCACTCATCTTCAAGTAATGGGTAAAATGCTTCTCCACCAACATCTTTTAATCTCTAAATTTAAAGAAAAATTTTTTATTTCTAAGTATCTAAGGCAGCAACAGTAATCTGAATTTAAAAGGCAAAAATAATGTAAAAAATATGGATTTAAAAAGGTTGTGAGAATAGTATGAATAGAATCTAAATTTGCTGTCTTAAGTGGGCAAATTTACCATACCTCTATTGAATATGGGTCAGCTGTAAAAAGCAGTTTTATTTATAGTTTTATTTAACCCACTGCCATGGAGTTGATTCCTACTGATAGTCACCCTATTAGACAGAGAGTTTTAAGCTATAAATCTTTATGGAAGCAGATTACCTCATTCTCCCACCAAGAAGCTCGTGGATTTGAACCACTGACCTTTCTGTTAGGAGCCCAATGCTTAACTATTGTTCACCAGGACTCCTTTACCTCCAGTTATCTCTCATAAAGGTATCATAATAGGTATCTAACATACCTATTATGATACTTTTCCAAACAGAATTCAGAACTACTAACATTATTATGAAAATTAATGAAGAAAATATATTTAAAAATACATATAAAATGAGTGACAAAAAAGGACTCTTTATACACATGCTTTTATTTAAAATCTAATCAGATTTATATTTGCTTTGCCATTCTAAGGCAAAGGTAAGGTGATAGAAAGAGGAAAGTTTCTCGTGCACATATTTTGAACTTGCATATTTTAAATAGTTGACAAATCTAACAAAATTCAGTTCTCTTCATTATTTTCTTTACACAGTTATAACGCAAGCTAGTACAAACAATAACATTGAATACAGCCAGATTTGCTGGCATTCTTTAAAACTTTAAGAGGACAGGCAATAGTGAAATAAAATCTTAGATACATCCTAAGCAGGGTGATTAAAATTAATGTCATCTTGCTTACAGTTCTCTGCACTAACTTCATGGTAGTGTATCTGATCCTGTGGGGATTAACTGAGGTCCGAGCTCTCTGGGTAGCCTGCACTGATGATCCCTTGTTGATTAGAGTCACTGTCACTCAGCCATGTTAGATGCTCTCAGAATTTTAAAAGCCAAAAACAAATATTTTACCAAACACTGAGGACTTGGCACACTAGATTTATGGCTGAAGTTTCTCTACAAATGAAAATGCTATGCTCTCTCATGTTCTATGTTGGCTTTAAGCCTTTATGTACTTATTTCACAAACTGAAATTTTAAGTAGAGAAGTAAGATTCTTCCAAGTTTTACTCATTTATTAATATATACAATTTTAAGAATTTACGTTTTACAGTTGTTTTTGTTACATGTTATCAAGTTGGTTCTAACTCATAGCGACCCTGTACTAAATATCAGATCATAACTAAATATCATAACTATTATTTATAAGTAGCTTTTATGCTCTTTTTCTAATTAAAAATTAAAATATTAAGACTAAATGTAGGGTAAAAGTACTTAAACATAAAATCATCAGGTAAAGTTATCACTTGGTAACTCTATTATTTAAGGGGAATGCAGGAATACTCCATACAATAAACACTGGACTGTGAACCATGAGGTCCACAGTTCCTACGAATCAGAACCATCTTCACAGCACTTAACAATAACAGCATATTATTATTTAAAGGGGCCATTGTGGCACAATTGTTAAGTGCTCAACTGAGAACCAAAAGTTCAGCAATTCAAACAAGAGCTGCTCTGGGCCAGAAAAGATTTGCTGTTCTGCCTTAGAATCATAAGACTAGTTCTAGTTCTACTCTGTCCTGTACTTTGCTATTAAACAGAATTGATTCAATGGCATACAATAACAACATATCATTTTAAAAATGATAATGATACCACTTTTCTTAATAATGATGTTGTTTTATTAAGTTGTTGTTAAGTTCAGCTGAGACTATTGCAATCCATAGTGACCCTGTACAGGGTTTCTAAGGAGTGGTTGGTATGTTTGAACCACTGACCTTGCAGTTAGCAGTTCAGTGCTCATCCTCCAGTGCCACACTAGGACTTAATAGTGACAGGAAAAATATTTACATTTCAAAATTTAATGTGAGGACATACCGGCTGCCATGAAAACTCTGGGACGATCTTAGAATGAGTTGAAAAGTAAAGACTGGATCAAAGTACAGGATACAAAAGTACAGGGGGAAGAAAAACCAGCAATAGAGGAAAATCTTAGTGTCTGAACTAGAGAGGAAGAGAACTCCAAGGTTGTTTTTCAGCCAGTTATTGTTGTTACTGCTAAGTGCCATGGAGTCAGTTCTAACTCATGGTGATCCTGTATAGGGTTTCCAAGGAAGAGTTGGAGGATTTGAACCACCAACCTTGCAGTTAGCAGTTAAGTGCTTGTCCTACAGTGCCACACCAAGATTCCATAGTCACTGTCTTAGTTAATAGTGCTGTGACTCAAATACCATGAGTAGGTGGCTTTACAAAAATCAGAAATTTATTTCCTCAGCATTCAGGGGGTTAGAAGTCTTAATTCAGTGTCCTGACTTCAGGGAAAGGCTCACTTTCTGTCATCTCTAGAGACAGATCGCTAGGTTCCTGCAGCCCTGCATTGTTTCTGAGTCCCTGCCAATCTCCATGTGGTACCTGTCTTCGTCCCCTGTTCATGCTTGCTTCTCCCTGTGCATAATCTGTTCTTTCTGAATCTCAAAAGTCAGTAGGCTTAAGCCACACCTTACGTGGATATGGCCACATTAACAACGAAAAAAACCTTACTGCCAGGTGAGGATTCCAGCACACATTTTGGGGAACACAATTCAATCTATAATGGTCACATCTGTGTGAATTGAAAAATGGGGCCCTCTCCTCCTTTGGTAGTTCTGAACTCACAGTTGGGTGATAAGAACATAGACAGGGTTTCTGCCCCACCTCACTCCTCAGCTGGGCATCCTTCAGCAGAACACCACCTGCACATCCCTGACTTACATGTATACAATATTAACCAATTTCCAATTACCCAGCATTGCAGAAATCTCACAGAATAAAACATCATTTGTGGACAATGCCTCAACTTCTGACATCACACTTTTGTGATAGAAATACTAAGAATGCAGGCATAAATTCTCAGTAGGACACTACAAGGACAGTAGCTGTCTCTATTTCTTGTTGAGATCTTTCTTATTATTGGACCTGAGGTAAATGCTTGTACCTCAGTAGCTGTCAACAACTCCCCTACTTTGTGTTTCAAATTTCAGTAAAAAACCTCAAATGTCAAAATGCATGTCATATTATAAATAAAATTTTACAACAGGGAATGGGAAAAACAAAATTTTAATGTGAAGGAATTTAAAGCAATAGACTTGAAGTGTAGCTAAAGGAACTAGAATTTCATTTAAATTAAAAGAAAATAATGAGGAAAAGTGTAATTTCAAATCACTTGAAGCTATATATTTTAGATGCAGTTTATGTTTTTCTGCTACATAGTTTTTTTGTCTATTATACATTTTCTTCCTTTACAAAGAGAATATATAAGATTACTGTATCTAGAAGTAATATTTACATTTTGAATTTTCTATTCATTATAGCAGGGACCCTGACAACAATCTTCAAGACAAACAATAAAGAGGACTTGCATGTCCTTATTTTCAAACATTCTGTAAAGTTACAGTGAGTTAAGAACTGGGCTACAGACGAAAAGTGTGTGAGTGTGTGTGTACATATTATACAT